TCTGTCCATGGGCTCCTCTGCTCTGGGTGTCACAGATGGACTCACCCCTTGACCGTCTTGGGCACACTGGCCAGGCGTGTGAGCATGCCTCACGGGGGTGTGCCGGTTTCCCCAGGTGAGACTAGGTCGTGGGTTTGGAAGGAAGATCAGTGGGTCCCATCTCGCACAGCCAGTCCTCACACAGCTCGCCTGTGGCGATGTGGCCAGCTTGCCTGGCCCTGGTGGTGGTAGCCAGGTGTCTCCCTTGTTCATTCCTCCCTCCTTCCCTTCCTTCTGGGGAGTAGGTCAGTAAGCTGTGGTCAAGAGGGATCATCTTCACATGTCCTCTGGAATTCTGCAGGGAAATGTCCCTTGTCTGTCCACTCACCCCTCCAGGTGTGTTTTTAGGTCAGCATGCAGGTGGACGTTAACCTCCACATCGGGTCATGGTCTGGTACCATTGTACTTAGTGGTCGAATAGCCCTGGCTGTGGCCCCTATGCCCCCCCTTTTTTTTGGGGGGAGGGGTACTGGGGATAGAACTCGGAGACACTCAAACACTGAGCCTCACCCCAGCCCTATGTTTTATTTTATTTAGAGACAGGGTCTCACTGACTTGCTTAGCATCCACTGTTGCTGAGGCTGGCTTTGAACTCACGATCCTCCTGCCTCAGCCTCCCGAGCAGCTGGAATTACAGCTGTGTGCCACCGCGCCTGGCCACTGTGTCCCTTTAGCATGTTTCACTTTGGGGGGGTTTTAAGCACCTCTGTGTTTTCTGTGTAGCCCTATGGTCAGCCACTTCTCCAGGGAGACCTGGTCCCTTTTGTTGGAGCATAATGGTAGACACTGGGCCCTGCGTGGGACGGTGCTTTCTGCATCCACCTTGCTGGGCTTTCCCCGAGCCTGCCTGCAAGGGGGCTAGTTTAGTGGCAGGACCAGAAGCACTTTTCACTCAAGAGCTTCTGCTCCCCACGAGAGGATCGCTAACTTGAGACCTAGCCAGGAAGTTGGCCGAGGCTGATCAAGGCCCTTGAACAACCTAACTCTGCTTTCAGGATCCATGGGGTGCACAGGAGTCAGAGGCCAGTGTATTTCTCCCTTCAGCAGGAACAAGCTCAGTCCACCCAGGCCAGGTCTCAGCAGGGCCCTGGCCCCAGTCTGCCCATGTCAGGACCCTGTCCTGCCTGGCCCCTTGCCTACAGGTTGCACTTGGCCAGAGACCCAAACTGCAGGAAGCTCCCCTTGGGACTCCCCTGACCTGGGGGGCGCCTGCCCTCTTCACCCTGCAGTCACTGGGTGAGATCCCTGCAAGCAATCCGCATTTAAGGTGCACAGAAAGGCTGCCCGTCCCCAGGTCAGAGCTGGCAGGCAGTGACCTCTGCTGGGGTTGCGGTGGCCATGCCTGTCATCCCAGTGACTCAGGAGGCTAGGCAGGAGGATCACAAGTTCCAGGCCTCAAAAACAAAAAGGAGGGGAGGCTGGGGCTGGAGCTCAGTGGTAAAGTGGCCCTGGATTCAATCCCTAGTCTCAGGAAAGAAAAAACACTAGTCCTCACAGGCCCCCACCCACCCAAAGAAGGAACCTCTCCACTTATTTATCCTTGAATCTGGGGTGGAATGGTCTCCCCCTGCTGAGCTCACTCCCCTGAGCCTAGGCCCTTGGTAACAGAAACAGCCTCCGGGCCTGTGGTCAGGCAGGATTTTCTTCCCCTGGTGTAGCAGGCAGCCAGCTCCTGAGTCGTGGAGGAAGCTATTCTAGCCAGTGGGTCTCAGCCCTCGCTGCACCTGAGTCGTCTGAGTGCCTTTTGAAAAGGAGCTGGGGCCGCTCAGACCCATTCTCAGGGTGGGCCCCATGGGCAAGAGCCCCATGAAGCCCATAGGGTTCCGGGGCAGGAGGGAGCCGGATAGGGCCCTTTGCCTTTATGACACGGCCAATTAAATAGCATCTAGGACAAGCCTGGGGAGCTGGGCTCAGCGCAGTGGTGGAGTGCTGGCCTGGCACACGCAAGGCCCTCGGTCGGTAAAAACATGGCCGGCCTTTATCGATTATTTCCAAAGCCTTCAACTTAGTTTTCACAGAAATGCTGGCCATTTCTCCTCTGCTGCAAGCTTCCCCTGTTTCCTGTGATCTTTAAAGTACGAGTTGACAGTGCCCATCATGTGTGACCTCAGCTGGTCTGGATCAGTGCGTGGGAAGAGGCCATGTGGCCCATCTCAGGCAAGGGTGCAGGACTGGGTCTGGCCAGTAGTCCCATGGCCCTCTCTTCCCGTATTCGTGTTGAGGAAGAACAGGTCCCTGGTGTTTTGGAGATTCCAAAAGAGGGGTGAGCCAGTGCTGGTCCTCACAGAGCCTGTGTCTCCTCAGGGCCTGCCCAGAGTGCCCCCTCACAGTACTCCAGCTACCAGCAAGGACAAGGCCAGCAGTACGGGGGCTACCGAGCATCGCAGACGGGACCCTCTGCCCAGCAGCAGCGGCCTTATGGCTATGAGCAGGCAAGTTACCTGGGCCCTTTGAGCGCCCCCCCCCCCAGGGCTGTGGAGATGACAGTCATGAAGAATACTGAGGTAGCCTTGATTGGTTCCAGGTTCCTTTAATGATCACCTCTGCCTCGGCTCTGAGGTACACACCCATAGCTACTTTGAAGGCTGCAGGAGGATCGCAGGTTCAGAGCTGCCTGGCAACATAGTAAGACCCTGTCTCAAAATAAACAGGGCTGGGCTGGGGTTGAGGCTCAGCAGTAGAGCGCTTGCCTCGCATGTGTGAGGGCCTGGTTTGATCTTCAACACCACATAAAAATAAATTTAAAAAAATAAAGATATTGTATCCATCTACAACTAAAAATATTTTAAAAATGAAATAAAAAGGGCTGGGGATATAGCTCACTGCTAAAGCACTCCTGCATTCCGTCCCCAGTACCAAGAAAAGGTCTCTGCTGCTGTGCTCACCTCGACAGACAGCTGGCCTGTTGCACCCTAGACTGACCGTTAGGCTCTCCTTCGCTCCATCAGTTCTGCAGGTTTTCACTGTGCACCTAGCAGGTTGGGGCCTCTGCCAGGAGGGTGAGGCGGGCAGTGACAGGACCCTGTGCTGTGGGCAAAGACAGCTCACTCAGGAGGCAGCACACAGTTGGTGGCACCCACTACTGTCCTGGGAGCAGGTCGAGAAGGGCAGCAGGTGGGTGGACAAGAACCCTGTCTGCCAAGGGGACAGTTGGTCAGGAGTCAAGGAAGACCATTCTTGGTGGGCAAGAATGAGGACTTCTGCAGCAATAAGGCCTGTGTGGCCGGAACCCGGCATAGCAAGAGCCTGGGAAGAGGTGGTGGTGAGACTGGGGTCATGGCTCGGGGTAGGGCGCTCGCCTGGCGTGCGGGAGGCTTGGGGCTCAATCCTCAGCACCACATAGAAGTAAACAAACCAGCAAATAACTAAGTAAAGAGGTGATGGGGACAGGCTGCAGGGCGTAGGGCTTCACAGGCCTCACAAGGAGTCGCCCTTTGCAACTGCAAGGACAGGGTCTGTGTGCCTGAAGCACTGAAGGGGCAAGGACCCTCACAGATGAGAAGAGCCAGGCTCAGGGAGAGGACGTGCAAAAGTCCTGGAGAATGGCGGATTTGTTGTATTGTAGACAGCAGGAAAAAGACCGGGTTGCTGCAGTGTGGAACAGTAGAGGGAGATGTGTCTCAGACATTTATTTGGAGCTTCCTTTGAAGACAGTCTTTAGCAAAAGGTGACTCTCCACAGTGACGTGTAGGTAGCAGGCGTCAGTGACCTCACACAGCTAGTGAAATTCCAAAGGCACCATGTTATGGTTGTTTTCCTTGGATAACTGAGTGGCTAAGAGGGTGTTTTCTTTCTTTCTTTCTTTTTTTTTTAATATTTACTTTTTAGTCATAGTTGGACACAATACCTTTATTTTATTTATTTTTTATGTGGTGCTGAGGATCGAACTCAGGGCCTTGCACGTGCTAGGTGAACGCTCTACCACTCAGCCCCAGCCCCAGCCCCAGCCCCAGCCCCAAATTTCTTAAGTGCTTCTCATCCTGCTTCTAAAAGGGTGAACCAACCTGAAGTTTGACTGTGAGTAGCACGGGGTAAAGCCAGCCGTGTGATCATCAGGGCAGAGTCCCTAAAGGAGCAGACCCCTGGACATGGGGGACCGTGGTCCAGAGTGCCCTCGGAGCGCTCTGGGTGCAGCGTGCTGGCCCTGCATGCAGACGGGCTCTGGGGTTGGCCTCTAAGCGTTCACTGGGAGCCGCTGGTGGAATCCAGGAGGCGGCAACCTGCCCCTGATGCAAAACTGGAATCACTAGGAAATAACAAGTGAACGTTCTCATCTCGTGATGGACCGACTGGAAGACTTGGAGTTTTATGCCTGCCTCAGAGAAGAGAGCAGTGACATTTTGGGGAAAGTGTCATCTAGCTCCCAGGATCCTGATTTGTGTATCTGGGAGATACACGGCCGGCTGCAGGCTGTGGGGTCCTGCCGTGGGCTGTGGTGGGCTGTGGGCTGGAGGGGTCTGTGGGGCCGTGATGCACTCTGCAGGCCTCTGGCTGGATGCCAGTGCACCCAAAGGCTGCCAGGTGTCACTGGGGAAGGGTCAGCTCTGCTTGAGAAGCCCTGGGCTGGATTGTGCTGAGGCATTCAGGCTGCCCAGCTCTTTGAGTGGCCTGAACGCTGCTGTTCTCTCAGCTGACCAGGCCAGATGGGCTTTCCTGTGTGCCTGAATGTTGGCTGGGGTGGGCCTGGCCTTGCTTTAGAGTGCCAACCCTCCTACTCAAGACCATGTCTTGGGCCTGGGGACACAGCTCAGTTGGTAGAGTGCTTGCCTGGCATGCACAGAGCCCCGAGTTCAATCCCTAGCACCACAAAAAAAACAAAACAAAAAAACCTCTAAGTCTTGATTTCTTTTAGGGCCAGTACGGAAACTACCAGCAATGAAGGACCCATGTTCTTGTTGGAGCCTGGTGGGAGTGTGTCTGGGCGCTGGACAGCTGTGGTGGTTCTGATGAACTGTGCCGTGTTGCTGGCCCCTTGCCCAGCGCCGTGCCTGCATGTGAACGAGCCCACCTTATGCTGGGTACGAAGCCACCTGCACCTCTGGCGCAAAACAGCACTGTGCCGAGACCTGGGGTGCCGTGTGTGGTGTTGTATGTCAGTGCGATGGAGCAGTTGTCCCATTTCTGTCCCCCACCCTCTTTTCCGTGTTCCTAGCTAGTTTTGGGGGTCATCTCATCCTCAGTGTTCTGTGCCTGGCGATGGGACATAGCTGAAGGGTGCCACGGTCCTCGTGTTCACGTGAGCAAGCTGGGTCTGCTCCCTCCTGTTGGGTGTGCTGTGGCCGGAGCAACTCCTGCTCTGGCCACTGCCTGCTGCCCTCGGCCTCCGGAGCCCAGCAGTGCTGGGCCCTGTGTGTGGGCCCATTTCTGTTTGGTGTGACAAGGATGCACAGCTTCACCTGCAGGAGCCAGACCCTCCACTGCCTCGTCCTTCGCCGGCAGTTTTCCAGAAGGATATTGTCCTGTGTTAAAGGTGAAGAGGACAGCGACTGTATTCCAAATAAACAAGCCCGAGGGCAGCGTGTGGTCAGCCTGCCCAGGGAGAGTCGTGTCACCCAAGGGCAGAGGCAGTTCTCTGCCAGCAGGGCAGTCGGAAAGGGCCTAGCTTTGGCCTTTGTTCATCTTATGTCTTTTCTAGGATTCGAATATTTAATATGCCCAGTCCTAAACTCGAGGAATTTAAAGTATTTATACCAAATCTCCCAGCACTTGGCAAGCTGTTCATTTTGTGTCATTTCTTCCAGGACCGACCTGTTCTGATCTCCAAGCAGGCGTTTCTTTCCTTTTAGGGATATCTAAGATCTGCATCCTGTTTTTGAAAAGAACCCCAGTAACTTCCCTGTGTCCTTCTGAATGAAAAGTAAAGGTTTTATATGATGAAAAGTGAGTGACTTACATCACTAGGACATTCAATCCCATTTATCTTCTGTGCAAATATCAAGACAGCACACTTGGAAAATCATGGCCAAAGGAAAAAGCCTGCGCTTCCACCTGTAGGAGCACGGACCCTTGATCAGCCTTTACCTGGGTAATAACGACCACTGTATTTACCGTGAATCCTTTTTTAAAAGAGAAGTCTTTGTATAAATGCTGATGTATTTCCAAAAATGACTCAGAAAATACAAAGATTTTCCAGTGCTTAAGATGTTAGGCCTACTAAAGACAATGTTTTCTTTAATCAATTTTATGTTTTAAAAGTTTATCTACTTTTTTCTTTCTTTCGTTTTCTTTTTTCTTCTTCTTCCCCCCCCCCCTTGTACTGGGGATTTAACCCAGGGCCGCTGTACCACTGAGTACTCCCCAACCCTTATTTTATTTATTTATTTATTTATTTATTTATTTATTTATTT